AGAGTTTTCCAGATTTCGTCCAGATTTATCCAGACTTCTACAGACTGATCCGGATTCTGGAAAATGATTCCCAGGTCTTTTGGAACCTTTTTCAGAATTTTTCCGACCCTTCCAAGAAATTTCCAGGCATTTTCCAGACGTTTCCAGAGATTTCCAGGCATTATCCAGAGCTTTCCAGAGTTTTCTAGACTTCATCCCGATAAATCCAGACTTGTTCAGACTGATCCGGATTCTGGAAAATGATCGCCAGGTCTTTTGAGACCTTTTTCAGATTTTTTCCAACCCTTTCCAGAAATTTCCAAGTCTGGAACGTTTCCAGACTTTTCCAGACAATATCCAGACTTATCCAGAGTTTTACAGAGTTTTCCAGACATCATCCAGATTAATCCAGACTTGTTCAGACTGATCCGGATTCTGGAAAATGATCCCAGGTTTTTTGGGACCTTTTTCAAAATTTTTCCAACCCTTTCCAGAAATTTCCAAGTCTTTTCCAGACGTTTCCAGACTTTTCCAGACTTATCCAGAGTTTTACAGACTTTATCAAGATTTATCCAGACCTTATCCAGACTTGTACAGACTGATCGGGATTCTGGAAAATGATCCACAGGTCTTTTGGGACCTTTGGCAGAATTTTTCCGACCCTTTCCAGATATTTCCAGGCTCTTTTCAGACGTTTCCAGAGCTTTCCAGAGTTTTCCAGACTTTATCCAGATTAATCCAGACTTTTTCCAGACTTGTTCAGACTGATCCGGATTCTGGAAAATGATCCCCAGATCTTTTGGAACCTTTTTCAGATTTTTTCCAACCCTTTCCAAAAATTTCCAAGTCTTTTCCAGACGTTTCCAGAAATTTCCAGACTTTTCCAGACAATAACGAGACTTATCCAGAGTTTTCCAGAGTTTTACAGACTTTATCTAGATTTATCCAGACCCTATCCAGACTTGTACAGACTGATCCGAATTCTGGAAAATGATCTCCAGGTCTTTTGGGACCTTTGGCAGAATTTTTCCGACCCTTTCCAGAAATTTCCAGGCTCTTTCCAGACGTTTCCAGAGATTTCCAGACTTTTCCAGACTTCATCCAGATTTATCCAGACTTGTTCCAGCTCACTTGGCTTGTTCCAGGTTCCTGTTGTGTGTTGTGTGTTTGTATTAATATAAGCGTGTTAAAAAAGTGTTGCTTTTTCGTTTAGTTTCATCGGGTCGCTTTTTTGTTTCATCGAGTCTCAAATCACTCCCAACGATTGTAAAGAAGTTTCCACTTCAAAAATGACTCCACTCAACAGTCCCTATCTCACGCAGAGCATAATTTTGTTTTAGTTTATATATTTTCTATTTATACAGCAAATTAGACGTAGCAACTAGGTATCATCTAATATGTCGATGTAAAAAATTCTAAAACCGCCGCGGCAGTTAGTCTATCATCTTACAAGGTAAAATCACAGAAAATATATTAAATGCCCGAGAGAATCGCGCAACGCTGTTAAAATTTGTTTGCCGAAAAGCTAGCGCGAATATAATTTATTTCAATTTATAACACCGGAGCAGCGCCTCTAGCGGTCTGCCGTCGCCCATAAGCGTAGGTTTTCTATAGTTAACTATAATATTCTTTGCCCAAACTAACCCCTCCACGTAATGCGTACTAGTCCTTGCATGTATCGAATTTAGAAAAACAACAGTGGGCTTCGCGCGCTTTCTTATTAACCAGTAGTCCAGTACACTTATATCCAGTATTAAATGAACTGTAATGAAACTAACCAAAAATATGCAAACTAGCCCAAACTAACCCGTCCACGTAATGCGTACTAGTCCTTGCATGTATCGAATTTAGAAAAACAACAGTGGGCTTCGCGCGCTTTGTTATTAACCAGTAGTCCAGTACACTTATATCCAGTATTAAATGAACTGCAACGAAACTAACCAAAAATATGCAAACTAGCCCAAACTAACCCGTCCACGACCCACGTAATGCGTACTAGTCCTTGCATTGTCAAAAAAATTGTGGGTATCCGACACGAGACCACTTTTTCACCTATAACGCCGTTATTTCTTAACCGATCGTTTCGAATCTCATTTGAAAGAGGATGAAATTACCTACAAAATATTTTTTTATGGAGGTTTCAGGCCGTTTTTGTCTTTGAGATATTGGCCGTCAAAGTTGAAATTCATCGTAATTTTGTTAAAATTTTCGAGGTCGATTTTCTCGAAAACGGTGCCCCGTGGAGGGATACTTCTTATAGGCTTTTTTGTAGTAACCGACGAGATCTATAAGTTTTACATTTGAAGTTTTTCTCCCAAGCTTTTCGTTTTGGAGTTTGAAAATTTAAAAAAAAAAATCGAAGGGAATTTTTTTGTCGAAAAAATTCAAATATCGAATTTCAAAAAAAAAAAAATTCTATCGGATAGAGGAGCAAAAAATACGTCAAAAAGTAAATTTGACCCTCCTCGCTACGGTACGTCTTGGGGGGATGGGGAGTAATGATTGTGTCATTGCAGGGGTATAGTTTGGCAAGTGGTACGTTGATAGAGACGAAAGGGGGAAGAAAAGTGGGGCGTAACCTAAGAATATTCACTGACACCTCAACTGACATCGCATGATGACAGCCATCACATCCATCATTTCGCAATGTTGCCGGATTTTTTTCTTCTTTAAAATGCCACAAATACCTACATAGCAAAAAAAATATGTCACCAACTTGTTTATTATCGTTTCCGTCAAGTTTGACAAAGCAGCAAATTCTATAGCAGTTCGCCGTTTGGCTAGCCAGACAATACATGGTGTATTATTTTCCGGACGAATAATAATAACATAATAATTCGGAAATTCCAGGTTAATAAAATAGAAATATTCGACCGGAAGTTCCGTAACATTATCCACACTGTACGAAAAATGACATATCTTGGACATATTCAAATGACATCAATATTTTTGTTTCAAGAGAGTAAAGCTATAGTCTTATTCTATGGCTATATGTCATTCATAACGTCTATAGACTTTTTCTAGTGCGTGCTCTGAGATTTTGAGCGCTGATTGGCTATATTTTGGGGCCTCACTAGGGTCTTGGGTTAATCATTTAAATTGAGCGATGGTCGCCTAAGTCGACCCTCTAATTTTGACCAATCAGCATCCAAAATCTCAGATCACGCGTCACAAGTTCACGAACGGACTTTATACTTGAACAGCGAACTGTTAAAATGGAGCTAACAAATAGAGTTTTCTCTGACCGGTCTCTTTCGGGGATGTGTAGGTATGATCGATTCTGGTGCAGATAGAAAAAAGCAAGAGGACCTAATATATGAGATAATGGAGGAAAAATAGAGCAAAAAATATTATGATTTTCAATGTGAATGAATCAAAAGCTAAAACACTGGCAGAAAGGAATCTTGAGGATGATAGGACAGTTGGTGCAGTAGCAGTAGTCGAAATTTTTAATATAGACAAGGATGGTTTGAGAAGTTTTCGACTTAGAAAGTATGTTGCAGAAAGGGCTCGGCCCATTAGGGTCATTCTGGAATCTGAGGCTGATGCAAAAAATATCTTGAAGAACCGAAAAAATATAAGTATTCCGGATGTTAGGGTGAATAATGATCAAACAAATATGCAGAGGGATTACTAAAGGGGTGTCAAAGCCGAGCTGCAAAGGCTCGTAGAAAGTGGACAAAATAACAAAACTATTGAATTCATTAACAATAAACCAACAATTGTGGATAAAAAGGATAATCAAAAAAACTCCCACTAACACCTACTATACTTTATAACTCAGATATCATTTATCTTCATGCTTAGAGTGTTCTAAAAAGTATAGATCAAATAAGGCAGAGCATTGCTTCTTATAATTCCAAAATCATTCTATTGCGTGAAACATGAACAACCAAAGATGTTCAAGATGTTTGTTGGATTATGTAATGATGATTAGATGTGTTGTAGATGTGACTCTAACAGAAGACATACTGCTGGGATTTTAATTTATATCAACAATTATTACAGATTTTCAAACGTTCAGAAATTTGAACTTGTTGATACTTTTTGGTGTAAATTTGTTAGGGTGCATCTGGCGTCTATCACTTGGGTTATTGGCTGCATCTACCATCTACCATTCTCCATCAAGTTCGCATGCTAGCTTTCTTCAGGAATTTGAATAAATATGTGATACTGTTTTTCCCAATATAGCAAATGTCTGTTGGGTGGCGATTTTAATGTAAATCTTCTGAGTGACAGTTTTTATGGTGACAAGTTCAAGAACCTAATGAGGGTTATATTGGAAGCGCAGCCTCTCACGCGAGATCTCTTTGCTAAGCTCATTAAATTGGCTCTCTGTTAAGAATATTATGTGCACTTAGGGGCAAATTATGGACCAACTGGAAAGTGTCTGGTTGTTACCTAGCAGGTACTTTCTATTCTCTAGTGCATAGAAAGTACCTGCTAGGTAACAACCAGGCGTTTACCAGTCAGTCCATAAATAAGTTAGCACCACCTTATTTTGAATAGTTTGTTGTTTTTAATAGGGATATCCATGATTACCCTACAAGGTAATGAATGATCATCTCTTTATTCCAAGAACGAATTTTGAGAGTACACTAAACTCATTGTTTTTTAAGGGCTTTCAGGAATTTATCAGTCTTCCAAATGATATCAAGGGCCTTTCCTCATTTCAGCGTTTCAAAGATTAGCTAAGGGATTACATGCAGGCTAAAGATTAATTAATCTACTATTGCATTAAAGTACCATCTTGATGTGATTGGGTGAACCAGAGTAATGTGCTGCTATCTTCATAAGGTTTTTACTTGTATTTTGTAGATAGTTACTTGTATGTCTAATGGGCATTTTTTCTTATATTTTGTTGTTGTTTATATTAAATATACCAACCTATTTGATGAAGACATAGTTCATTTCATTTCATATTTCCACTTTGACTATTTCCTAACTTTCAACAAGGAGCTCACTTCACGGACACCTATTCTAATCCCTAACAATAATACCTATTAAATTATGAAGCTTACTTTTTCGGGCCTTCACTGCAAATTGACCGATTGTTTTTACGTTTTGATGATTTTGATTTCTAAAATTTAATTTTTTTTTGGGCATGAATTTGTTATTTTATGATAAACTTACCTTTTTCTCTAAATCCAATTCCACCTCTTCGATATTTTCAAATTCAATATTTGCATTATTAGTAATGTCCACAGCTTGAGTCATATTTGGATCTGGTAAGTATTGAGTCAATAAATAATGGAACTGGCTTGAATCTGACATTAATTTTTTTTCGTTTTTCAATTTGCTTTTTTGTTTTTCCATCGTTAACGCACTGTCTACAGACAATAATTATTGATGAATTTGGAAACTTTTGAGAAAAATTAGAAAAAAAAACCTACAAACACTGGATATCACAAAAGGTGTAACTTTAGGATACATCAACGTCCACCAAGCAGGTTTATTGAAGGCAGTCTTGCTGCCAGACACAAAAAGATAGCTGCTATAATGGGAAAGTCGTCCAGAAACTGTACCCATCCAACGTTTCTTTCTTGGTTTTTCATTTGGATACAAAACTTGCCAATTACGATCTATGAATGAAACAATATGGTGTCTCCAATGGAAAAATCCTTTTCTTGCCAATCCACCACTTTTCATTTGGAGATGGTGCAATGACATAACAATTGTTTGGAGCCTATAGAAATTTGTAAATTAATCTTTTCTTGTTATTATTGATTGAACAATTTTTCTCTTACCAGGATAATTTATCCCTTACGAATATCTCCAGGCCCGTATCGGAGCACTCCGAGCAAGTATAAATATAGAATAAATCTCCTGCTATGCCGCCGGGGACTGTGCCCCTTTTGAGGCATCGAGAATGTACACTTTGCTGACATAAAGAACACGTTAAGCCTTCGTCTGTGCATGGTAAAATGTTCTGTTGGCAATATTTACAAGATTTTATTTTTAAAAGTTCTTCCATTGTCGATGTTTTGGGCTTTGTGAGTATATTATTGAATAATTAAATTTTCATATTTTGCTCGAAAGTAAACAAACAAAAAAGTGTAGGTTATGCTGAGTTATTGAAGTTTGTCTTCTATCAACACTGACTCAAGGATAATACACACTACGATTGCTTATCGGCCTCGTTTTTGGTAATCGCGACCATATTGGTGTGTCACCAGTTTTGACGTCATAACTACCTTGTCAGCTGTTTGCACTAGCGGTCGAAGTTTAGAATTTTTTGAAGAGAATAGAGGCTCGTTCAGTGAGGTTTCATTAACCACGTTTTTTGATACTTTTATGGAGTATTACTCACATATAGCACACAAAAAAAAATTCAGCGCAATTGGATAAATATTAAAAAAGTTATGCGGCTTTGAATAATAAAACATTATGCCTCAGAAATTCATCGCTTAGAGATGGTATGACGTCATCTCTTGAGTCAAGACGGGCTAAAGGCCGTCATACGACCAACGTGAGAGATGCAGTGACGTCACCGCGTGTTCAAAACTTTCAAATTTGGAGCTTTTTGATAATTTATTTAAATATGAACAAGGGTTCGGAAAATTATGAAATTTTGCACAACTGCTAAACTCAATACGCTCTTTTAGAATATGTAATAAAAAAAATATGCTGTACGAGCCTATTATTATTTAATTTTGATTACCATAATAGGCAAAGAGGAAAATGAAAACGAGATTTGAAAAAGGGTTGTTTTAAGGCTCGCATTCCTCGGAGCGGAACGGAGACGGGACGGATTTCGCAGGGTCCTTATTCTTGAAACAAGGGAGCAGCGTTCCCGAGAGAACGAGTGTTTTGTCTCTGTTACTTATATTATCATTTGCATCTCATTGAGAAAGATGGAATACTCGTTCTCCGGAACGTTGCTCCCCTGTTTCAAGAATAAGGACCCTGATGTGTTGCCGTCATTTAAGAAGATGTGCTTTCCCAAGCAGCGGTGGCGCGAGGGCGGCAGAGCTCAGTTTTTTGACGCTAGCGGAATCACGCCACCGGTCGGTCGACAGGCAACTTCGACGGAGCGCAACACGGACGGAATATTGGGTCTGTTTGCAGACATCAAAAACCAGTCATTACACCTTTTCACGTCGCTCCGTGCCTCCGGTTAACAAACCCGGTTACAAAACGGTTTGCGGTATGTCAAGTGATGACATCACTGAAAATGCCACTTGAAAACGGACGGTTGGAAAAATGTTATTTTAAATTCGATTAGAAGTTAGGTATAGAGGTGTATGACTTGTTTTGTGTTTTTAATTTTTGATTTTTCAAAATATTTTAAATGTGAGCAATTCACAATTAAAGGGGGTGTACGCCAAAAATTAAAGTTTTAGTGTGAAAAAATCTAAAAATAACTGTTCAAACCTCGTTATTCTACGATAAACCATCGATGAGATATACCGCTTTAAAGTGTGTGTGACGTCACGAGAGCTTCGTCCAGCCGCGCTCTGCATTGTTAATTTGATTGTTTCCGGCATGCGTGAGGAAACAGGAAAAACATATGTAAATTCAATTTACTTCACTTTCTCGGGCGTCGCTTGAGCTTTCGTGACGTCATAGAGTGAGATTCGGTATCTTCATAGAGCCATATGTTCGGTATTATTTTTCATAGAGGGGTGCGGCTTTCACTATTATTCTTAGATTTTTTTTCTTTTTTTTTTGAGATAAAGTTGTTTTTTTGGCGCACACCCCCTTTAATTAATATGTGAAGAAATATGGGAAGCAAGTCTTTTTTTCAAAATTGTGGAATTATCCAGTATTTCATTCTTTTTTATTACAGCAAGCTAAAAAGTGAAAAGTAGGTAGTTTAATTTCTTTTCGTTCAATGCTTTATATAGATGTGGACCATGGGTGGATAGACCTACTAGAACCAGTTTATCTAAACTTTATACGTTCTCGTTACCTACAGTCTACAACGGCCCATCAAGTAGGTAAACTGGGATTGTCTCTGGTAGGTACCATCGTCACCAAAAGTATCTGGGACACAATAATGCATAATAATCTCCTGGACTAATTCTAACGTCATTCATTTCAATGCATTATATTCATAGTTTGACAAATATTTGACAATAAAATTCATATAATAGGACAAGAGCTAATGTGATGCTGTCCCAGTCCCAGTTACTTTTGGTGACGATGGTACATCTTTTGAGTATAATACAGGGTGATTTACGTAGTCTGTACATTAGCAGGTAGATTAGGTGGTATAGGATTTTCACGCTATGTTTAGGATGACATCACATTTAGTAAATTTCTGCTGCAAATCTAACAAAACTAAAAGTACTTCCCAACGCATTTAAAGTAGGGGAATTTTAGATGTTTCTGGTTGGCAACGGCGCGCGATGTTGTATGATTTAAATGAACATTTTCAGATAAATTACGGTACGGTGTCGATTCATTTCGTTATTTTTAGCTGTCAAGGGTCTTGATAATTCACTATGAGATTCTGGTAAATGATAAGAAAACAAATAGACATTGACAACATTGTCAGTCCTTGTTTTCTGACGTCATCCTAAATATAACGTAAAAAACCTATATTTATACTAATCCACCTGCAAACTGAACAATTTCTAATGCACGCGGGCTACGTAAATCAGGCTGTATACAAGGGAAAAGGCTTTCGGTCTTAAAATTCGTAAAATATAATAATATGTACAAAACACAGTTTTATTTAGTTTTTACACTTTTCCGAACTTAACCATAGCTTTGTTCCAACACACCAAAAAACCGTACAATGTACCGTCAGGATTCTGCGCAAAACCAAAATAAATGTGTGCGCAGAAACCGAAATTCGTATACAGAGTGCATGGTTTCGAAACCGTTCATGGGATGGTTTTTGACGTGTTGGAACAAACCTTATATCGCCGAGGCGGTTAGATAAATGACATACCGTTTTCTAACTGTTACAAAGTGACATCTTCGGTACCACCCGAATTTGAGTGGTATGTTGCGGTTTGTTAAACCGGAGCAACGTGAAAACGTGTATTGGTTGAAACTAGTTTTCTGACTGTTTCTGACTGTTTTCAAACAATGAAATTCGGTCTGACTGGTTTGGAATTTCTGCAGAAACTAGGGTTGCCACCTCTCCGGGCTTCACCCGGAATCTACGGGTTTTTACATATGGTCTCCGGGCTCCGGATTACTAGGTGTTTTCTCCGGGTAAAACCGCATTTAACAAAAAAAAACGCATTAAAAAAAAATAGGATTTAGCAACAGCGCAATCCTGTTTGTGCAAATACGGTTTCTCTCGGAGAACTTGAGAAATTTTCCGACTCCGACACACACGTTGGCGATAGATAGCCCACGAACCTCAATGCCTCATAATCTCCCTCAAGGATATTGAACACTACAACAGGTCTGCTCATCAGACTGGATTTTTGGAATCAAGATCATGGTGTTGTACCGTTACCGACGTCATCAACGGTGTCGTTAACTGTTTGCGTCAGCGGTCGTAGTTTAGAATATACAATTTATGAAGAGAAATATTTAATTTTGATTGACATAATCGGCAAAGAGGAATATGTAAACGAGATCTAAAAAGGAGTTGTTTTAGATTGCTGATTAATGTACTAAAAACAAGTATGCACAAGCCAAAGCCTGCGGAATCATAGTCTGTGGTGCAAACTCCCTACTTCAAGGCGAGAAACGACACGTTGCCTACGTCACTGGTTCTGTTCTATGGCGTGGTGGGAGGCTTGAGATTTGATCTACACAGGCCTTATGAGAATAGGCTATCCTGTTTAGTGTGTAATATTCTTGAATATTCTTCTCCAACCGTCTCAACTCCCAACTCCAAGCAAAGTTTCCTCGAGCAACATCTGGCGATGCTGGTGGGGGGGGGGGGACTTGTGTATATACATATAAGCCGCTTTCCAGCTGTGTGCTTCAAGCACGGTGCAGCACAGTGTTCTGTGTTTGAAACGCAAAATTTAGCAGCTCTCGAAGTGCAGTACGGCTGGAAACACGCGCTTGAAGCATTTGCGCGTGCAAAAGCTCGATTGCGTGCTCAAAATGCTCAGCTGGAAAGCGGCTATAGACAGATAGTAAAGTGTAATGCATCTGTTGCATTGTAGATCTGCAGATTTTCTTTTTCAGCTTTCTCTCAATAATGTTTTTTTTTTCTCCGGTTCAACTTACTTTCAAAGGTGGCATCCCTATAGCAGAAACAGACCTATTATAAATTCAAAGATGTCGAGTTTCACAGAAGACCAAAGTGAGTTGTTGATTGATTTTAATTTAGTGAGGTAGTATCTAGTATCCTGTGTTGTATAATTTATCTATACACATGTCTATTATTGTCGAACCGCTCACGTCGCGTCGCCTTTAAAGTATCCCTAGCGCGATACGCTGGGAAGCACTATCGTTCCGTCACGGAAAGCGAGCCTCAAAGGCCTAATGTTAATTAATGTACCTGACGTCACACCTGGGCTCGGATCACGACAAGTAGAATTCTACTAGAATTCTACTTTCATGACGTCAGGTTGCCCATGAACCATCATGATTGTCTGATTGCCTGTACTGTACGAAGACTGTATGCGATAAATAGGTCACGGATGACGTCATGAAAGTAGATTTCCACTTGTCGTGATCCCAGCCCAGGGTTGCCTTTAGAAATAGCACTCTGGGTGTGAGAGTGACCCTAGAGTGACTCTAAACCGTTCATAAATTAACAGATGCTTACTCCGAGCGTACGCTGGTTTGCGATTTTCGAAACCATTCGAGTATATTCGTACAAGAAATTTGACTGACACTTGACAGCAATGTAAATTAAATTTCGTATACGAAAATATTCGAAAATCGGATCCCTGGGCCGAGATTCTAAAATCACGATTCGACACACGACTCGACAACGATACCGGCCTTGTCGTGTCGAAAGGTATAATTCCAATGAGATTTCTAACCTAGAATCGTCGGAAAAATCGTCTCGTTGTCGAATCGTATGTCGAATCGTGATTTTAGAATCCCCGACCTGGAATCGTTCAGAAATCGAGAGCTAACGTACGCCCAAATCACCCCACTCAGGAACTGGGTTGAAAAACGACCCGCGGTTTTTACCGGGTTTAATAGTCCAGGAGGTGGCACCAAAAACATGCAAGAGTTTTCGCAAGGCGGATATTTTCAAAATAGGTCGTACTTTAGTGCTAGAATGCTAGTGTACAGTCAGCACTCACAGTTCCGGGACAGCTGGCTCTGGGACGCGGGCAAAGTTGTAATTTTAAAAAGCATCTAAACTGTTTTCTCAAAGCTCAAAATTTATAGAAATTTTGCACATTATCTGTTTGAAGGTCACAGATAACGTATGTAAATCGTCAGACGTCTAGTTCGTTGCAAAAAGGGGGTCAGACGTCCTCAAAGTTTTTATTTTATGGCATTTTCTTCGGTGTCCTGTCAAAATATATTTTTGCAGGTATTTGACAAATATATTGGAAGAAAATGCCATAAAATAAAAACTTTGAGGACGTCTGACCCCCTTTTTGCAACGAACTAGACGTCTGACGATTTACATACGTTATCTTTGGCCTTCAAACAGATAATGTGCAAAATTTCTATAAATTTTGAGCTTTGAGAACACAGTTTAGATGCTTCTTAAAATTACAACTTTGCCCGCGTCCCAGAGCCAGCTGTCCCGGAACTGTGAGTGCTGACTGTACAAGCATTCTAGCACTAAAGTACGACCTATTTTGAAAATATCCACCTTGCGAAAACTCTTGCATGATTTTGACGCGAGCTCCCCAACTATAACGTGATTCTTTAATGCGTGAATAGACACTTTAAGCAGGTCCTGAAATTCAAACGTATCCGTATCCGCATTGATCTGCGCATGCGCAGAATAGTTACGGTGGTTTCGTTACGTTGCGTTGTCCGTATCGTTACGGGCCTAGCTTCGTATCCGTATCCGAAAACTTATCTCAATTATTTGAGAGTATTGAGAGATCTTCCTGTCAGTTATCACTAAAATAACTTTAAGAACATAAATACAGTACTTATAGAACCTAAAAACACAGCTATGAGATCAATACAACACTTTTTGGGGTTAGAAAACGCTCAGCCAAGGATACGATCGTTTACGTAATGTATAGCCATACTTAAAAGGACTTTCAGGCGGTTAACGTAAGTCGATGCGTTTACGGATGCGGATACGTAGAAAAATTTTGGGTAAAGTGTCTATTCATAACAATTGACATTTACCGCAACGCCCTAATACGTTCAGAAATATCGCACCCAGAGTGATGACGTCAGAACACTCTGACAAACAACTACTCTACATTCACACTCCATTTCTAAACACACTCCTGTTTTTGCCATAAACTTCACCCCTCGCTCTCCATACCGAAAGTGTCAGTTTAGAAACGACAGACTACGTCAAGGCGAGAAACAACATGCTGTCTACGTCACAACTGTTGATTTGGCGAGGTGACGAGGCTTCACATTTGTTCCACACAGGCCTTATGAGGATAGGCTATCCTGTAGTAGACGTAGTAGGTGTATTATCCTTGACACTGACTAACGTTTGGATGAGCTTAACCTCACTTTCTTTGTTACTTTGTCCCTTCGTTCTTTTTTTCAGTTCCATAACAATCATAAACAAAAATGTATTTGTTTTAAAATTAAAACAAGATTAATTTAGGTTTAAATTGCTCTAAATAATTATTATTAAACAATGGACGTCGATCTTTTGAAACCTGGAACTGTTCCCATATCGCCAGACACAGTTTTGATGTTCGAATTTCTATTGGACAAGAACCTACTGTGGAATCATTTACGAAAACCGAATCCAGGTAAAATAGTTATACTTACTTTAGTAATTAGGTAATAAGATTAATTGGTATGCGAGCTGAAGATAATCTGCTTACAGCATGCAGTTGTGATAGTTAAATATACCTAATAGATTTCTCCTAGGATTTCTCAGTAGAGTGCTTGTTGGTACTGGTACTGATGATGACGACCTTGTGTTATTTTATTTCTCGTTGAAATATCCTAGGTATTATTGCTGTTGTTTCTAATACAAGAAAGCATATTAGGGTCCAGACCTGTAGCTCTACAAACAATGGTTTATATGTAACTCGAGTGCTAACCCGGCTGTAAGATGCATGATCCTACAGCTTGCTTCTGCAACACAAACACTGTGTTGAATAGTTTCCCAGTACAATTTTCCCAAAAACATACACCATGTGTTAGGTGAGCCTCAAGCAAACCGATTCAACCAAATAGACCCCCTTAAGAAAGCTATAGCTGGCATCATGAGTTCCTGTTGATGACTGAAATCCAAACTGCTTCTCAGTTATCAGGTTGCAAGTCAACAAAGAGACTGAGCTGAATTCACTCTGATTTCATAGTAACCAGCTGTCAATTTTGCTTTTAACCGAGCTTTTAACTGACCTATGCGTGTTCAACAAATTTAAACTTGTTGTTCAAGTAAATAACAAAGAATTTATTTTCTTCAATGTTTGTTAGCTCAATAGGTATTATCGAGGGTATTACCCAGCGTTACCCCAATATCACATTTCAAATTCATTACACAAGTCATTAATGTTTAAGGTTTGGAAATTACAATTACACCATTTTTTTATCAAACATGTTTCTATTCACAAATCTCTCAAGGTTCAAGGCATCTTTATGGCTCCACAAGATGGTGGCAAAAAGCGAGGCAAAAAGTGTGAATTTGCTCTCAATTTCGAAACTTGACATCATTATTATACTGGGTGTCCGGAATCACTTGAATTGCATAGGAATTTTGGAAACCATTGAAGATACAGGGTAGACCAAATGGGGGGACTTCTTTGAACTCAGTAACGGATATACAGGACAAAAAAAGAAAAAAGTTTGTTTTATAAAATCCTTCATATCTTGTTTATTATAAAAAATTCAATCAAGATGTTCAAAGAAATTGATGATAGATTATTTGTAGGCACTTGATTGCACAACTTTTTCCCCATTTGGTTTACCCTGTATCTTCAATGGTTTCCAAAATCCGCATTTATTTCAAGATTTATTTATTTACCATACCCAGAAAGACTGGAAAGACTTCAATTAACAACGCTAAGGGAGCGAAGACATAGAGGAGACCTTATCGAAACGTATAAAATAATTAGTGGACACTATCAGTGCGAAATCAAGAACATCTTTCGTCTCAACCAGAATCCACAGCTTCGAGGACATTCTATGAAAATAGACAAGGAAAGGGCTGCTAAACTCCAAAGGAAGAATTTTCTGACCAATCGTGTGGTATATTCATGGAATGCACTCACAGAGGAAACGGTTACTGCAGCAAACGTTAATATATTTAAAAATCGTTTAGACAAAGAATTAAGACAGAGTGCAGCAAGAATGATCCATTATGGCGCATAATTAAAGGAAAATGTAAACAATAACAAATTTTAAAGAGACAATAGCTTCATCGGTACACCGCTTGCTATTGGATAATTACATTATTACATTATTATTATTATTATTCCAGACATGCTGTAAATAAATCAAAAATAATATTGGGCCCAATATAGAACTTTAAGGTATAGCATAGAATATAATAGAATAGAACTGTGCTTTATTGTTCGAAGTACTTAAACTTATTGACAAAGCTAATACTTAAATGTACTTTTTTTTTTCCCTAAATACTAAACAGTTTCTATATCACACGAAAACGCCTCAATATAGTTATCAATAATTTAAAATACATTAAGGGCCCCATACACTACGGTGAAACACGACGGTTTTCACCGCCGCGAGGAAACACGTCGTGTCAAAACCGAAGTGTGTGGTAGAAAACCGTCGTGTTTTTCTACCACACACTTCGGTTTTGGCACGACGTGTTTCCTCGCGGCGGTGAAAACCGTCGTGTTTCACCACAGTGTATGGGGCCCTGTAGAAAACCGTCGTGTTTCATCGTAGTGTATGGGGCCCTGTAGAAATCCGTCGTGTTTTTTTATTACACACTTCGGTTTTAGAACGACGTGTTTCATCGTGGCGGTGAAAACCGTCGTGTTTCATCGTAGTGTATGGGGCCCTTTAGAATGGAATAAAATATAAATACATAATAAAAACACATGTAAACAAAATTCCAAAAATGTGCTCCTGTAAAGTTTTCAACATTTTCAATCTACAAAAAACATAATAAAAAACATAAAAATAAAAACTTAAAAAACAATACTAGGAATTATTATCACAATTAATTAATTAAGTCTATCTTCAAAGTATTCCAGCAGGCTGTAGTAGGGTCTAATTACCAAGAGTGCTCTCACTGCATTTCAAAAGTGCTTACAATTGTCCAGTATTTTTATTTCCTCAGGCAAATGGTTGAATATTTTTTTGCCATTATAAATGAGGGAGTTTTAAGCTAGAGATGTCTTTGGAATAGGGAGAGGAATATTGTTTATTTGTCTCGTGTTGTATGTATGTCTTTGTTGCTTCAGTCCATTGTAATATTTTTCATACATTAGTGATGATGTTTCCAAAATATATAGACCAATTACTCTAAAGATTTTGTGTGTTTTAAATAATGGCTTACAGTGCTCCCTAGGTCCCACTCCACATATATATCGTAATGCGCGTTTTTGGAGTTTCAACACACTAGCCATTAGGTCATTTGTCCAGGATCCATAAAATGCAACTACGTATCTCAAATGGGACTCTATCAAAGAATAGTAGACTGTCATTGTTGAAGAAAGGTTAAGTTCTCTAGCCACAACTCTCAAGGCATATGCACCACTAGCTAATTTCTTCTTTAGATATAGTATGTGTTCTTTAAATTTTAGTTGATTGTCAACATATATGCCTAGAAATTTAGTGGAAGCTCTGTTTTCAATATGATTAGTTTCTAATGTAAGGGTGTCAAAGTTAAACTTAAATGTCATAATTGTTGTTTTTTTCAAATTCAAACAGAGTTTATTGCTTTCGCACCATCTCTTCAACGTCCTTAAGCTCGTCTATGTTTTTTCCTCTCCACAGCACTGTTTTGTCATCCGCGAACACAGTAAAAGCACCCCTAATGTATATACCTTTGTTCGGTTCCCCTAAATACATAGTGTTGAAGCTTACGCAGTAGTATTTCATGATCCACACAGTCGAACGCCTTGGAAAAGTCACAGAATACTACCGCGACAGCCTCGCCACCATTTAGTCCAGTATATACCTCCTCCAAAAGATTAAATATGGCATCCATGGTTCCTTTGTCTTTCTGAAAACCAAATTGAACCTCAGAGAGTACCTTATGTTTTTCAAAAAATTCTACCACTCTGCTTTTGATTATCTTTTCAATGATCTTTGACACAGCTGATAACAGAGAAATTGGTCTGTAATTAGAGGGGTCTGATGTACTACCAGTTTTGGAAATGGGCACCACTGAAGCTGTCTTCAAGCATTCTGTAAAAGTTCCTGTATGAAATGAATGGTTTATCGCCTCAGCTAGAACATGAAGTGCCATATCTGGAAGATCCATGATGGTATTTACTGAAATGTCATCAGCTCCAGCCGATTTTTTCTTCTTTATGTCCCTCAAAATGTTTTTAAGTTCAAGCAAGTCTGTGTTTGTTAGATGGAAGTTTTCAGTGATCTTTTCAGGTAAGTATTCTAAAGGATTTATCTTTTGTTCCAAGTGTTCCGTTAATTTTTCTGAAACTGAGCAGAAAAAATCGTTCAGTTCGTTAGGCGACAGTTGAACTTGATGAGTAGTCAGCCTACTTTGTTTTCCCCTTAGTTCATTTATTATTGCCCAGTTTTCCTTGTTTCTGTTTTGTGAGTCGTCTAGTCGTTGCTCAAAATATATCTGTTTAGCAGCCCTTATAACTTGTCTGTAAATTTTTCTATAATTTTGAAAGTAGTTTTCGAAAAAAGCATTATGTTTTTGAATCTTTCTAATTTCATGAAGGCACCTCATGTTTCCTGCTGATACTTTTATCGCTGGAGTAATCCATAACTTTCTCCGCTTAAACCTAATCCTTTGCAGAGGAAAAGCACAATTAAAACAGTGCTTTAAAGTTTGGTAAAAATAAATATTGGGTCTGGGTTATTTAAAATCGAGTTCCAGTCCAAACTGTTGCATTGTGAGCCAAATTTCTGATAGTTTTTACTGCTATAGGTTCTACCGATTTTACTTATTTTAACATTGGATTTTTGATCCATTCTAAATCCTGTAAGTACTGAGTGATGATCTGATAAACCTGCTGGAATAACCTTGCAATTAAAGTCGTCAAAATGAAAATTTGAGCATACATAATCTATTAGGGTTTCAGAATGGGAAGTCACTCGTGTTGCTTCTTCAACAAACATTCTTAAATTGAAAGACATTAGCAAATATAAAAGATTCTTTGTTACTGTGCTTTGTATTTCATCAAAATTAATGTTTATGTCTCCTGCTAAAATTATTTTAGAGTTAATAGGTAGTTGGGACAGAAGAATTTCCAGATTTTGTAGGAACATATTAATGTTATTATGTTTTGGTGACCGATATATGCAAATTATATAGACATTATTTTGTTTTTCATGTATTATAAAAAATTCAAAACCATTTTCAATTAGATTGTTGAACTGTGATATGCATTCTAGGCTGTATTTATCAATAGAGTATTCATTTACAAGTATTACTGTGCCACCTTCCTTAGATTAATCTCTACAGTATAATGAATTGATCCTGTAATTAGGTATGTGTATGGGTTGGTTTGATTTAATCCAATGCTCCGTTAATAATAATAAATCTGGAAACTCGACATGCTCCACAAACAGCAGCAATTCATTTGTTTTTTTATTTAATGATTGAATGTTAAGAAGTAAAAGGTTTGTTTCA